AAAAAAAAAAAAAAAAAAAAAAAAAAAAAAAAAAAAGATTGTTGTAATTACAAAGAAGATACATATAAATGGGCTTGGGAAGGGCCAGGGATTTAGCTCAGTGGTTCTATTGCCTGCTTCACAAGTGCAAGGACCTGAGTTCAATATCTGTTACCAAAAATAACCCCCCCAAAACGGGGAAAGGTTGGTTAGTGGCTGACATGTATTAGGTGCTTAATTCCTGGGAATTCCCTTCTCTTTTTATACAATTCCCTTGATATCTATATCCAGTGCTTTGTAATAAAAATTCCTCATGATTTTACAGCGACTTACAGTTGGCAAAATATTTTCCAAAACATTGTTTCTTACAACAGCGCTTCCAGGTGTACAATACCAGTGTGCTTATTTACTGTTCGCCATGCTAGAGATAGAACCAAAGACTTCCTGTATACTAGGGAAGTGCTCCACCACCGAGCTATATTTCGAGCCCTGTTTTATTTTGAAAATAGTGCAATTGAGGTCTAAAAAGTTGAATCCGTTCACCAATGGTCACAGTCAATGGGTTACCTATTTTTTGGTACCGGGGATCAAACTCGGGACCTTGCGCTTGCGAGGTAGGCAGCAGCACCACTGAGATGAATCCCCGGCCCAGTTACCATTATTTTTAATCCAAGTCTCCAGTGTAGCCACCCCTCTACACTCTGCTACCAATGCTTTTTCATGGACAAAAGGGCTAGATGTGAAGGCATGGAATAAGAAACAAACTACTGGCTGGATTTACAGAATAGGTTCTCACTCCAAGCCCTAGCATGTCATCTCAGCACTCTCTCTAGAACCTCTCTGCAGTTGTAACTTAAATGAGTTAAAGGACAGTTCATAATTAGGATTCTGATTGCCCTTGGCCTACTCAACTATACATTTTTCCCAGTCAGAAAGTTTTCACGGAGCGTTAGCTTTGAACTTTAGCCTTGAAAAGATAGCCTTTTGGGCAGTAGTTCCCAACTGTGATGCAATTGGGAATCTTTACAAAAAATATATCGACACGAAAGTCCGTCAGTGGAGATTTTCATGGGCTTGGGTGGGGCCCAGGTCTCTTATCTTTTAGAAGCTCTAATGCGACGCCACCGCACTTGCAGCTAGGGCTGGGAATCACTGAGAGATCAAACTTCCGCTCGGAGCACCTAGTTACGCGGTCTCCACTGTGGATTCCGGACCCGCGTCACTGAGGCTTTTATTACAGAAAACAGTGCAGTAAAGCTAATTTTATACACTCTCAGCGAGTCGTTCTCCGGGGGGGGGTGTCATTTCGTCTCATTTTACAGGTGAGACAAGGTCCACACAGCAGCGAAGCGACTTGTCCCATTGACAAGGGTCTGTGTCCTACCCTAAGGTTGGACATGGCGGGACAAAACGAATTATCAGGCACTGGAGTGGAGGTCTAGAGGCCCGTCTTTGGTTTACCGCCTCAAACCCGGGGACAAACTTCGCAAACGCCCGCCAGGCTGGCCCCACCTCAGGAAGAAGGGCGTGGAAGTCCGGTTCCCGCCTCTGCATGAGCGGCGCTACAGTCCAGTTCTCGCCTCCCAGAAGGCGAGACGCTACCGGCGATGTTTTGTGACGTCATCTCCGCGCGTCGCCGTAAACGTCAGTGTCTAGCGCGGGGCTGGGTGGTGTGATTTTTGTCTTGAAATTCGATATCGGATGTCCTTTGCGAGCTATGGAGAGTGACTTTTATCTGCGTTACTACGTGGGTCACAAAGGCAAGTTCGGGCACGAGTTCCTGGAGTTCGAGTTCCGACCCGATGGTAAGAGCAGCCTCCCGTCCTCCAGGAGCTGGGATTAGGCCTGGGAGCTGTCGGGGAGGCCGGACGTTCGAAGGGCCGGGAGCTACAGGAAAAGTGAGACGAGTGCAACTCAGGTCCAAAAGGGACGCTCTGTGTCTGCTCCTTTGATTCTTTCTATCCATGTGCAGAGGCTTCTGTGTAGTGACAAATTTGACCCAGATTGCTTACCTTTTAACAAATGAGTTGAACGCCCACTTTATAGCAGGGTGTGTTCTATGCCGTGGAACACAGCAACAAAGATAGACAGTCTCCCTGTCGTGAAACTTGTGTTCAGTGCTAGGAGGAGATCATAAACAAACAGAACCTAGATAGTCGTGAGTGATCAGAAAAGAAATGTTGGAATGATTGTTGATGGGCTACTTTTAAACAGAGTGGTCTTTAGAGAGCTCTCTCAGGAGTGGATGGATATTTGGACTGAGTCCTGATTTACAAGAAGCCAGCCTTGTAAAGCTCAGAAGGAAGAGCTTTCTACAGCGGGAGTAGCATGTGTCAAGGGCAGGAAAGAACCAGGCATATTTCAGATGACCGGTGAGGTGGCTGAAAATAATGATGAGCTCTGGAGAGAATAACAGATGATATCAGATGGGTAGGGGCCATAGCATATAAGCGTTTATAGGGTGATAAAGATTTAGATATCTAACTGCAGCAGGGTGCAGTTCTAAAGTTTTAAGCAAAGAAAAAATGTGACCTGTTCTTGAAAAAGCATTCTAAGCTGTTGGGTGCAGAATTGTCAAGAGTGAAAAGCTGAGGGTGTAGCTCGGTGATAAAGTACTTGCCTAGCATGCATGAAGCCTTAGGTTCAATCCCCAACAAGAGGGCCAGGGATTTAGCTCAGTGGTTCCGCCACCTCCCTGACAAGCACAAGGACCCGAGTTCGATCCCCTGGTACCAAAAATAAATAAATAAATAAATAAATTGCACGTTTTAAAAAAAGTGAAAACAAGATTATTAATGAGGAGGTGGTGACAGTTGTCAAGACAGAATAGATGTTGCTTAGGACCAGAGTGATAATCAAAATGGAGAAGATTTACAGTACTATTGGAGGCAGAAGTAATTGGACTTGGCTGATTGTTATTTGGGGTATAATATCTGGAATAATATTTCTTCATGATGATGAAGAAAAGAGGAATCTAGGATGATTCAAAACTGGAACTAACTGGGGCACAAGGATGAATCTGACAAGCCCCAACAATGAGGGAGATAGATTTGTAAACCGTGACAAAGCACTGAATTAGATGTTATGGTACAAAGAAACAGGAAACTTTGGGAGCAAAGCGGAGGCCCCTAATCCAGCTTGAGGGTTAGAGAAAGCTTCTCACATAAAATGATAGGGTTGCAGGTGAGGATGTGCAGTAATGTGTAGGAGTTGGTTTGGGGACCAAGAAGAGTCAAGAAGGCATTTTGGATAGCAGGCACAGCATAGAGGCTGAAAGCTAGAAATTTGGTGGGACGTTTCAGGCAGGAACAAAATAATTTGACTTGAACTGTGAAAGAAGACTATTGTGGGAGTGAGTCTAAAAAGACAGGCAGGGCCTCAGCTTAATTGTAAGCCATGACAGGAAGTTTGGATTTTGTCAGAAAGGCAGAGACAGAGAGAAACCACAGTATCATAGTATTAGAGTAATCTAATCAGATGGATCTGTTGCTACATCATCTTATCCACTGTATAGAGAATGAACTGAAATGGAAGATTTGAAACAAACAATGCAAAGGCTCTCGGGATAAATTATTTGACTCTTTATAGCTGTGTTTTCTTTATACCTGTGAAGGAAAAAACATGTTTTCTGCTTTCTTTTATTGTCTCCCTCATCCCTGCCATTTACCCTAAACCAGCCTGTTGGTTGGTTGCACATATGAACAAGGGGCCTTGTGAGCCAGGTGTGCTCAATGGTAAAAGCACAACTTTTCCATCACAAAAATAGATCAGAGTGCTGCGTAGTCATATGATAATATGTGAACAGCATCCTTCAGTTTTCAAAGTGCTCTCACGACTCATTTGACCCTCAGCACATGCTCTGGGTAAGTTTTCGATTACAATCCCTACTGTCAGTTAAGGACATTAACCTACAGAAGTGTGATTTGCCAGAATCACAAAAGAGCCTGCCTGTGTTCTTTGACCATACCAAGTCTTTTGCTTGAACTGTAGTTCAGTGTCAGGTGTGGTTTTGTGGGGAGACTGTTTAATAGCCTAAAGCGAGGCCTGAAAAGACTTGTAATGTTGAAACATGAACTGCATAAATAGTAAATCTGTTAGTCACTTTGAAGAGCAGTTAGGATACATTTTAGGAAACAGCTGGTAGTCTTGGTAGGCTAATGATGATTTATTCATATATTTTTATTGTATATTGCATTTATGTTTTGCTCCTCACAGGGAAATTGAGATACGCCAACAACAGCAATTACAAAAATGATGTTATGATCAGAAAAGAGGTAGGAGTCTTTCATTCACCACAATTTAGCCTTTTGTTTTCTATTGTCTGGGTTCTTTCTAGGAATACTATTAAAAGATAAAGAGTAGAGAAGTAGATAAATGCCTGTTGACAGCTTCCAGATTATTTTTCAGACTTTTTAGTTTGCATTTCCTTTACAATGATGAGTCAATGACTTGTAACTATTTGAAGTTTAGTGTATCTTGGTTTGAACCCTCAATTTGGTGCTTACTAACCACGTGACGTTAAGCAAGTTTCCTGAACTTTGTAAGACTCTGTTTCTTCAGACACAGTTCCCTGTTGGGAGTAATTCTACGTAATTTTAGCAAAAACTCATTTCACAGATTACAATTAGGCCTAGTTTTCCTGCCTACAGACCAGCTATCGCATGTCAAGGCGTAACTCCGTTTTTGCCTCCAGTCACAGTTAAAACCTCAGTGGGTCCCATGAATCTGTGACACTCCAGGGCAGGATTACATCAGCTGAAGACATCCTGGGCCTTTGAGAACACAGTAGTAAGAGAAAGGTTTCACCTGGGGGGTGCAAATTCCTTATCATTTTAACTCCTCCCATCTACTATTGTAAGAATACTCTTACAGTCCTCCTCGACATAAGAACCTCGTGACCTAAGATCTTCATCTACATAGGATCACCTCTGCCTCCTAAGTCACCTCATAACTCCCTCCAGTTATTGTGTGTACCTAATATATGATGGCTAGCTCGGAGAGTCTTTGTCTTTGCCCACTTTGAGGCACTGACCTCCGCCCCACGCACACACTTTGAAATTTCCCAAGTCTCTGGTGTCTTTTTTTCTTTTTTCTTTGGTCCTGGGGATCGAACTTGGGTCCTTTTGTCTTTTTGGCTTTAGCCCTCACTGTCCCCCTTTCTAGGTAGTCGAGGATTGATGGCCCTCTGATAGTTCCCCACTCCCAAGTACTGTCATAGAATTAAGTATGTTATAGTTATAATGCTTGATATACTTCCTGCCACAAGAGCACTCAATGAAGAGCCCTACATGGGAAAGCAGTTAACATCATTGAATGCATGTTAGGTACTATATGTGGCACTAGGTATGTATGGTCTTATTTAATGCTGGTGATAAGCCCATGTGATGGGAATATTATATCCTTTACATATAAGAAATCAAAGGCTCAGATAGTAAGTATGGAATATGGTCACAGTCACTCTGCTTGTAAAGATTAACAACAGGAAATCAGTGAAGTCCCTGTGTTCCCACTGTGCTGTGATTTCTATCACATCATTAAGGCTTCATCTGAGTTATTCTTTTCATCACTTTGTCACCTTTGAAAATGACATAACCAGTATCTTTTCATAATGTTTTATTAATGTGATTTTATGCTTAGTCACACATCAACATCTTCACATTTTTTTAAACCTGGGCCAGTATGCAAAGTGTATTTTAAAAAATGTGTCTCTGTTTCTCAGAGTTACATTTTCTATATCCAGATATATTAGTTAGCAGACGTGGGTACTAATAAAATAAAGTTAATTTAGCTCACAGTTGTGTAGGTTCCAAGGCCCAGTGGCATCATGCTGGCCAATAAGGACTGACTGCCTCTTGACTGTGTCACTCCATGCATGGACAGAGAGCGAAGGCAGAGCGCATGTGTGAGCAGTGAGTACATCTCAGACCAGGAGCACAGAAAGACTCATGTCTCATTAGGCCCTATGTCTGTACTTCCTCCCAGGACTACCACACTGGCCTCCAAGCCTTTAATATAACAAGAGCCTTTGAGGGGTCACAAATCATGTTCAAAATGTACCATTTGTGCTACTGTAACTGAATATCTGGGACTGGGTAATTTATGAACAATAGGCATTTATCTCTACAGTGAAGTTCAGGGTTAAGGCCGTGGTAGGTTCAGTGTGTGATAAGGGCTCAGTCTCTGCTTCCAAGATAGTGTCACATTGCTACATCTTCTAGAAGTAACAGACACTCTGTCCTCAGTGATAAAAGCAAAAACAAGGGCAGCTAATTCTTTTTAGTCTTTTGTTTTTGTTTTTCTTAGACAGGGTCTTGCTGGGTAGCCCAGGCTGGCCTTTAACTCATAGCAATCCTCCTGCCTCAGCCTCTGGAGTTTGGGATTACAGGCGTATGTCACCATGCCCAGCTTCTCTGTAGTCTTTTTGTGAGGTTTCATCATCAAGGCCTCATTACCTCCTAAAAGCTCTACCTCTTCCTGCTATTGTGTTGGGGATTAAATTTCAACAAAAATTTTGGAGTGAACACAAACATTCAGACCATAGAAGGGGAATTTACAGGTCTGTTACAGGCTGAGCTCCAAGATGGATGCATGGACAAATAGAAGAGACATGTGAACAGGTAGTTTCAACTAGTTGGGGAACTGGGGTGTTGTCATTAGGCACTTTTGACCCATGCTAAGGTTTAGCATGAATGTCTTCCTGCTTACTGGGACACCAGGAATAGGTCTTCAGGAGCAGTTATTCCTGTCTTGCATCACTGTCTGTGTCAGTGCCGCTTAGAGATACATCCTATATTCTGTTTTTTAACTTCCTTTCAGGCCTATGTACATAAAAGTGTGATGGAGGAACTGAAGAGAATAATTGATGACAGTGAAATAACTAAAGAGGATGATGCTTTGTGGCCTCCTCCTGACCGAGTAGGCCGGCAGGTGAGTGTTGTATTGAGTATTCTGTAGTATAAAAATCAAAAATGAATGTAAGGTTTACTGCTGTGTGTGTGGCCTTGAATCCATTTGTGGCAGGGGTGTGCAGTGGAGCCTTTTATGAAGCAAATTATCATACCTTGGTATAAGGAAGCAATAATTCCATAGGAGGGACCAGAAAAGCAGGTAGTGCTGCTGGCCTCCTAGAGCCCAGCCCTGAATTTTGACCTGTTACCTCCCCTGCCCTAGAGCTTTTGCTGTCTACCTCACTTAATATCTGGACAGAGTTTGTAGGTCTACAAAAATAAATAAAACAGAGCAAAGCCATTTTCATATTTGACTTAACAGAAAGGGTATTTCCTTCTTGACTGCTACTGTCCTAATCCAGAATTATAATTTATTTCCTTGTTTCTCCTCTTGGGTGCAGCCCAGGTTTCTATCCTAAAGCTGATGTGGTCCTTAAAAAGATAATTTTGTTTACATATTCCATTGATTTAAACTCTTAACTGGCTTCCCCTGCACTTAAAAATCCAAACTCCAATCTAACCTTCTACCACTGACAACCGCTCATTGTGTTCAGACTTTACTAACTTCATTTCTGTTCCCCAGATATACTGAGGTTATTTTTACTTGAAGGCCTTTGCCCCATTCTTCCTAGACTATCCATCAACACTGTTCAATACTTTTACTGAAGTTTTCGGAAGTCACCTCCACAGTGGTGTCTGTCCATCTGATCTAAGAAATACCGCATCATTTTAAAAACTAAATTGTTGTTGTCTTACTAGCATTTATCATTAAAAGATTGTGTTAGAGCTGGAGATACAGTTCAGTGGTAGAACACTTACTTAGCATGCATAAGATCTGGGTTCAGTCCCTAACACTGCTTAAAACACACACACACACACACACACACACATACACACACACACACACACACACACACACACACACACTCTTTTTTTTCTTGTTTGATTTTTTTAAAATTTATCTACAGACACATACAGAAATGCAAACTCCTTTGGTATAAGGATTTTACCTATTTTTATTGCTGTATCTCTAGTGACTAAAACAGTACCAGTGTATAATAAAAACTCAGTAGTATTTTTAGAGTTAATATTGTGATTATATATAGTGATTTTTAACCACAGTGCCTGGCATGTAACTACCTTTCCAGAATGGGTCATAGAACCTGTAATCTTCCCCTGCCTTTCTGTCTTGGAACTTGGAGCCTATAAAGGGACATTCTATGGTCTATCCTTGTCAAGAGAGTAGGCCGCAGGACCCCCTCATTCCATAGGGATCTTGTCCCTTTATAACAGCAACTAAAGTGATAAAGAATGTGAAGAAATTTAAGGTGATGCACAAAACTTATGGAAAGGATTTTATTGAAGAACTTATAAATATGTGTCTTTATGAATGAGAGGATTTAGTATTATAAAGATGTTGGTTTTCACCAAAATAATTTATTTCATTCTAATTCAAACCAAAATCGCAGTTGGGTTTTTTTTCTAGAAACTAACAGAATAAACATTAAATTCATGGATGATCAAAGGGGCAAGAGTAGCCAAGATAACATTGAAGACTTCTTGCAAACCTATAGGTATTTGTAATATACAGCATGATTGTCTCAGAAATTGACAACTAAACTATTGGAATAGAATAGGGAACTCAGAAATACACTTGTGAATAGATGGAAACTTGGGCCAGTACATTACAGAGTTGGACTTTAAATACATAAGAAAAGGATAGATTTTTCAATAAATTATTACCAGGACAGTTCGTGGCATATTTGTGTAATAGTTTTTAAATTAGAACATTTATAGAAATAAAGCAAAAAATTAAAGCAGAGGAAAATATAAACTTATTATTTCTGGTTAGTGACATTTTTTAAACTCCTCAAGGGAAAAGGTTGATAAATTCAACTTCTTTAAATTTAAAACTTCTGTTTGACAAACACCAAGATAAAGTTGAAAGGGAGCCCATAAACTGTGAGAAGCTGTAAAACATAACTGGCAAGGAGTTTCTATCCAGAATATATAAAAAACTACAGGTTAGCAGTCAGGCTGCTAGCACATGCCTGCAACCCCATCTATTCAGGAGGCTGAGACAGGAGGATCACAATGCCAGCCTGGAAAACATAGTAAGACCATCTCAAAAGGAAAAAAACAAAAACAAACTGGGGCTGTAGCTCAGTGGTAAAGCACTTACCTAGCATGAGCTGAGCAGGGCCCTGGGTTTCCTTCCCAGTATCCCCTCTAAAAATAAAAGTTAAAAAGACAACCCAGTGGGAGAATATACAAGGATATACAGTTTACAGACTCAAAGTTAAGTGGTTGATAAACATGAAAAGGTCTACAGCTTCATCATTAAAAATTAGAACAACAATAAGATACTATTTCAGATTCATTAGAATAACAAACAGTAAAAAATAAAAAGTGTGACCATTTATTTAAAAACATACTATACTATCAGATCTAAAAACACAAGTGAAAAGAACATATATACCCCAGCAACTTTAGGGATGTGAGAAGAACAGAATGAGGGATGGACATAAACTCTGTGATACTTCTTTTTAAAAGAAGTAAACTGCGAGGCATGGTGGCACACTCCTGTAATCCCAGCACTTGGGAGGCTGAGACAGGAGAGTCACTGTGAGTTTGAGGCCAGCCTGAACTACATAGTGAGACCTTGTCTCAAAAAATCAATCCATCAATCAAAATTTAAAAGTAAAATAAAAATAAGAAGGAAACTAGGGTTCACTGGAATGAAAATTTTTACAAGGGCAGAGATCTTCTCTTTGTTAGAGTTTGCTGATCTGTCCCGAGCACTGAGGATGATACCTGGCACACAGTATGCACCCCCATAATTTTTGAAGATTTATGGTACTCGTGTATTTAGAAATTGTCTTAGTTGCCTTCTCATTGCTGGGACTGACACCTGCAAGTTAAAGGGGGAAAGATTTATTTTGGCTCACAGTTTGTAGAGGTTTCAGTTCAAAGTTGGCTGGCTTCAAGGCAGGAGGTGAAATAGTTCATGGCAGGGCTGGCAAGAGCAGCCAGCCTTCCTCTCTCTTTTATCTGTATTCAGGCTACAAGCCTATTGGTGCCAACCACACCTAGGGTGGGTCTTTCTGTCATCTACACTCAGAACTATGCTAAACCAGTCAATGGACTAATTTAGGTATCACACACCCTTAATCATATTCACACACCCTAGATCTGGTTGTCTCCAAAAAACCCCATCTATGAGTGCATGAGTCTTTGAGGGAGACATCCAGGTATAAACCATAGGAAGACCCAAGGTCATACAGCCTGAGAGTGAATGGCAATGCTGGGATCAAACCCAAAGTCTCAAATGCTTTTTCTTAGTCCATGTTACGCAAAAAGATTGGAAACTTAGGTATTTAAAAACAGATCTGTGTTATTCCACATTGTAATAGTTAAAAATTCAAATGCAAACTGGTATGTAAATTCTTCTAAATCTCAGAAAAGATGCAGCCTGGAGACACAGCTTCTATGTGAGTAAGCTTCTCAAGGGCTAACCCAGTGTTGTCTCTTTGGTGTCTCATAGAGTTTAGTGTTTAGAATAAGCTGCCCTTGCTTAAGTGGCCACCAAGAGTAGAATTTGAGTGATTTGGCAAGTGGTATGCCCTTCTCCTGTGTGCTTGACGAATAGTCCAATTCTGCTCAACTTACATTTTTAAAAAATGTTTGTAGGAGCTTGAAATCGTCATTGGAGATGAACACATTTCTTTCACAACATCAAAAATTGGTTCTCTTATTGATGTCAATCAGTCCAAGTAAGTATGATCCATTTGTGTCTGTTTTGGAGGAAACTGATAAATGCTTACCAAATTGGGACCACTATAGGATGATCTGGTACAAACTCAAGACAGAGGTGGGTCTCTGTCCCCTCAACAGTGAAGTCTCCAAATTACAGTTATCTTTGAGTATTAAGAGGTTCTAGACCCACTGCAGACACCAAAGTTGTGGGTGCTCGAGTCTTTATATAAAATAGTGCAGTGTTTTTCTATAACCTCTGCACATCCCTATGTATACTTTAAATCATCTCTTGATTATATTACCTACTACTTTGTAAATGGTTGTCTTACTGTATTATTTATGAAATAATGACAACAAAAAATTCTGAACATGTCCGTTGGAGACACAGCCATCATAGGTCTACACATGCATGATCCATGAACCCACAGATGTGGAGCACACAGGTACAGCCAGTATTAATATCTTGAAACGTATTTTTATAGTCTGTGCATTAGAAAATACATAGTTTTTAAGAACCTCCCCAAAAAGATCAACCATCTGTTTTAATCATGATTTTCTTTCACTTTATGTATTTCCCCACCCTCCCCCCAAAAACTCAACATTAAATTATCACACTAATATTCTACTTTACTGTAGCCTTTTCCTTCTTCATGGATATGTGGGTTGTTCAGAGTTTTAATACTATAAATATACTTACAAAGAACACTTTGTTGTTAGGTTTTGTTTTGTTTTTTAAAGAGAGGGGATTTACCAGTTTTTCTCAGCTTTTTAAAAAAATTTTTTTTCTGTTGCATTTTAGGGACCCAGAAGGCTTAAGAGTATTTTATTATCTTGTCCAGGACCTGAAGTGTTTGGTCTTCAGTCTTATTGGATTACACTTCAAGATTAAACCAATTTAGATTGAATATTGGACATAAGGAGGGTAGGAATAGTTGTTTTTAATTACCATTATCAGGAAAGTTTTGTGTATATCAAGGCAATATTTTTTTATAAACTAAGTAATTGTCTTTAATAAATGTGATAAAATCCAATTTTTGTTGTTTTATAAAAGATCTAAATGTGTGAACTCTCATTAGTTACTTTATCAAACAAAATCCTTGGGAAATATTGCCAAAAAAATCTTACCAACTGTATAAAAACTACCATTTTATAGTAAAAAAGAAAATGGAGAAATGTATTTAAAAAATGAGAATCTCATCAATATTCAGAGGTAATTCCAGACAAATTACTTAGTTTCTTAAATAACTGAAAGGGAAACAGAGGGGAAACCTATAAAGGAAATTTAGAAGACACATTTTAATTGCTGGAGGTATAGGTCAGTTGTAGAGCACTTGACTAGTGTGTGCAAGGATTTGTTCCCTAGTAATAATACAAAACAACAAAACAGCAGGGCCGGGGATTTAGCTCAGTGGTGTCACCACCTGCCTCCAGGCACAAGGTCCTGAGTTCAATCCCTTGTACAAAAAAAAAAACAAACAAAAAACAGCAAACAAGAGCCAGTGCAGTATTTGGCCCCTTTTTTGCTCATGATCAAAAAATTTTAAATTGACACCATTTAAACATTAGCTATTTTAAGATTTTAATGAAATATTGAGTTTTTGTTTTGGTGTGAAACAGCATTGTGGTTGGATGTTTTAAAATTATCTTTAGGTAGCTATTTCAGTGGGTGGAGGAGAAGCAGAATACTTTGGCATAACGCAGGGGTTGAACTGCCTGAAACTTTCAAAAAAATTTCCCAGTAACCATTTTAAAATCAAAACCAGCAGCCATTAAAAACAGACCAAGTTGGTACAGACAGTGTGGGGATTTGCTTAGTACGTAGATTGACCTGTAGGGACCACATTTATTTTGCCAAATCACGTGGCTTCTTAAATCTGCATGGCTTGCCAGGCTTGATGGTGCTACCTATAATCTGAGCACTTCGAAAGGCTGAGGCAGGGGGATCACAAGTTCAAGTTCTGTCTGGGCAACATAAGTAGTAGACCCTGTCTCAACAAAGGGGTGTGGTGTTGTAGTTCGATGCAAAGGCCCTAGATTCAATACTTAGTACCACCAAAACCCAAAAAACTGCATGGCTTCTTTAGGCAAATTGCTGGTTGACTAGGTAACACCTGCTGAAAGAAGTGAGCCTTGAAAGTAGTCATTTGACAGGACAAGTGATAGTCCTAAGCTCACATCCCTAAGTATACACGTCTCAAGGGTTCTTAACGTGGACTGGTGCTTTTTCTACATTTTACTGTGCCTCCTTTAAAGATTATGGGGAAAATTAGCGGTGATCCGATTTGTCAGTGTTCCTGACTCTTAAGTAGCCTCCTCCTATAAAGGGTACTTGGCAGTGAGGTGCCCTGGTGGTGAAGTAGACCAAAAAAAAAAAAAAA